AGTAGGTCTAGGGTTTAGTAGGGTCTAAAAGGGTCTAGGTTTAGGGTCTAGTAGGGTGTAGTAGGGTCTAGGTCTAGGGTCTAGTAGGGTCTAGTAGGGTCTGGGGTCTGGTAGGGTCTAGTGCGGTCTAGGTGTAGGGTCTAGTACGGTCTAGGATTAGGGTCTAGTAGGGTTTAGTAGGGTCTAGGTCTAGGGTCTAGTAGGGTATGGGGTCTAGGGTTTAGGGTTTAGGGTTTAGGGTTTAAGGATTAGGGTTTGTGTGTATAGGGTGTTTCCTCCTACTGCTTTTTTATTGACGGAGAAGTTCTTAAATTCCCTCAGCATAGAAGAAGAATAAAAGAATTAGCTCGTTGTGTTTGCTGCACCGGCACCAGCATCAGCATCAACATCAACATCAACATCAGCAGCAGCAGCAGCAGCAGCAGCAGCAACAGGGTTATATGCTCTAGCTGTGGCAGCAGCAGCAGCAGCAAATGCAGCAACAGCAGCATATACTGCACCGACTGCTGCCTTTGCTGCTTTATTCCTCCTCCCTTGCTACCTGAAGGACAAACTAACCAGCAGCAGCAGCAGCAGCAACAGCAACAGCAACAGCAACAGAAACAGCAGCAACAGCAACAGCAACAGCAACAGCAACAGCAGCAACAGCAACAGCAACAGCAGCAACAGCAACAGCAACAGCAGCAACAGCAGCAGCAGCGGCGGCAGCAGCGGCAGCATGGGCCCGTACTGCAGCAGCAGCAGCAGCAGAAAAAGAAAGGAAAACCAATACCTTGTGTCTTCTTTGCTGTCTATGGAGGAGAAGCTGCAAAGACACCCCAATCTGCTATATATATAAGCGAGTTGCTGCTGCAGCTATCTCAGCAGAACCAGAGGCAGAAGGAGCAGCAGCAGCAGCAGCAGCAGCAACAGCAACAACTGCAGCTACAAGACGGGGGAACTTGGCTACCTTCCCCTGCTGTAAGCAGCAACAGCAGCAACAGCAGCAACAGCAGCGGGAGTTGCTGCAGGGTGGTGCGTGTGTTTGGTACAACAACAGCAGCAGGAGCAGCAACACAACTAGGAGCAACAGCAGCAGGAGCAGCAGCAGCAAATGACGAATTCATACTAGATAGGGATACAGTAATTGCTGCTGTAGGGGGAGGAGCAACAACGGATCTAATCTCTTTTTGCAGCAGTCTGCTGCTGCGCGGATTGCGGCTGCTGCTGCTGCCTACTACGCTTCTTGCTGCTGTTGATGCTGCTGTCGGAGGTACAGTAAACCCTAAACCCTAAACCCTAAAAAACCCCAAACCCTAAAGAAACCCTAAATCCTAGAAGTATGGCTGCAACACAACAATATAGGGTCTAGGGTTTAGTGTTACTGCTGCTACTATTTCTAGGGGTCGTTACTTGCTTTCCTAGTTTAAGGGTTTAGGGTTTAGGGTTTAGGGTTTAGGGTTTGGGGTTTATATATATATATTCAGGAAAAACAGGAGTAAATGCAAAAGGACTAAAGAATATGTTGGGCACCTTTTATTGCCCTTCTTTTTGCTTTATTAACTTTTCTTTCCTACAAACCCTAGATAGCAGACAGATGAGGAGTGGATTGGCGGAGGTGGTGAAAATTGGTAAACCCTAAACCCTAAACCCTAAAAAAACCCTAAACCCTAAAAATATCCGAAACCGTACACCCGAAACCCTAAACCCTAAACAGTAAGAACGAAATGGAGAAAGAGAACACAACAACTGGGTCCGTCACATAAACCCTAGAAGGGTTTAGGGTTTAGGGTTTATGAGTGTTCGTGTCTGTCTTGCTGCTGCTGCTGCTGCTGCTGCTGCTGTGTGCAGCTGCTGCTCTAAGCCCTGCCTTCCTCCATTATCTATTAACTGTAGACCCTAAATGCTTGGGGGTTGATCAGGAGCCTCAACCTGCTCAGTTGCTGCTGCAGCAGCATCAGCTGCAGCAGGAAAAAGAGCAGCAGCAGCAATTATTTCCATTGTTAGGTGTAGTTGCTGCTGCTGTTGCACTAAAGGCAGCAGTTGTTGCTGCTGATCTTAAAGAAAATAATATTCGTGGTGTTCTTAATTTTGGTCACACTATTGGCCATGCTATAGAGATTACACCAGGAATTAATTGGTAAGGGTTTAGGGTTTAGGGTTTAGGGTTTGAATTTTTCATATTTTTAGGGTTTGTTGTTTCTGTGTATATTTAGTGCATATATGTTTATTCTTGGATGTTGCTTCTCCTTCAAAAGTTTATGCCGTAGGGTTTAGGGTTTAGTAGGCTTTAGGGTTTAGTAGGGTTTAGGGTTTAGGGTTTAGGGTTTAGGATTTTTTTTTTTTTTTTGCAGGGCCCATGGAGAATGTGTATCCGTTGGATGCGTACTTGAATCTTCCTTAATATCCTTTTTAGGGTTTAATAATTCTCTTCTTTTTTTCCTTCTTTTTTTCGCTTTTAAGAGGTTTAAATTACCTGTATATTTACCTGTACAGCTGCAGCAGTTGCTGCCACCACCGCTGCAGCAGCAGCTGCAGCAGCAGCAGGAACAGGAGCAAGAGCAGCAGCGACGGCAGGAACAGCAGCACCAGGAGCAGCAGCAGCAACAGCAGGAGGAGGAGGATGATGATGAGCAGAAGCAGCGACCTTCACAGGAACAGGAAGAAGAAGAGCAGTTGCTGCTGCAGCAAGAGCAGCAGAAGCAGCTGCTGCTGCAGCAGGAGCAGCAGAATTGGTTATTACGCTTATTAGGGGATAAAAAGAATAAAAAAGGAGAAATAAGTTTTGTTTATCCAAATAATGTCTCCTTTGTATCTATAAGTGCCACCTATAAACAAATTAAACAGTTCTTCTCTCCTCTTATTTGTGCTACATCTAATTGCTGCTGCTGCTCCTCTTGCTGCTGCTGCTGCTGCTATTCTAACTGCAAAGGACCAGGAGGAGCAACAGCAGCAGCAGCAGCAGCAGCAGCTGCTGCTGCTGCTGCAACAGCAACGGCAACAGCAACAGCAGCAGCACCAGCGGCAGCACCAGCAGCAGCACCAGCAACAGCAGCAGCAACAGCAGAAGCAACAGCAGCAGCAATAGCAGCAGCAAAAGCAGCAAGAGACAAAAATGAGTGCGACATGGATCAGTTCTGCAGCGATGCATTTGTACCAGGTAGGACAACTGCTGCTGCTAATATTGGTTGTGGTACTGCTGCGAATATTGCTGCTGCTGCTGCTGCTAATATTGCTGCTGCTGCTGCTGCTGCTGCTGCTGCTGTCTCTATGTTTTTCAGGGTCGAAGTCGGTTGCCAATCGGGTGCTCCTCCTCGCTGCTATGTGGGTTGCCTTCGGCAACGGCAGCAGCAGCAGCAGGTACAGCAGCAGCAGCAGCAACAGCAGCAACAGCAGCAACAGGAGCAGCAACAGCGACGACAGGAAGAAGAGGCGCGCATTGCTGCACGGATTGCCTTGCTGCAGCGACACAGTAGCCATGACATTGGCACTGCAGCAACTGCAGCTAGCAAATATTAAATTAAATAGAGGTAAATAAATAAAAAAAAAGATAAATAAATAATTAGTTGTAAATATAAATTGAGAAACTATTTTTTTTTATGCTATGAAAAAATTTTTAGGGTTTAGGGTTTAGGGTTTAGGGTTTGTGTACAGGCCATAACGCGCATATTTTTGAGGCAGAGTTGGAGGAGAGAGAAAGAAAGGAAGGAGAGCCAATTGCTGCTGCTATTAAACCAGTAAGCTTATATACTGCAGCTGCAGCAGCAACAGCAGCAGGAGCAGCAGCAGCAGCAGCAGCAGCAGCAGCAGCAGTAGCAATGTCAGCAGTATGGTGAGTACATTAACTGAGTAACTAATTAATTGGTTAGTTATATATATATTTATTTATTATTAATTCAATTAATTAATTAATTAATTAATTAATTAATTAATTAATTAATTAATTAATTAATTAATTAACGTAGGTAATTAACTAATAACTTATATAGGTATATACGTACAAATATATGGATATGCATATGAATATGTATATGTACGTATTTACGTACGTATTTACGTATTTATACAGTTAGATTGTTTATCTAGTGCTTACATACATATGTACGTGTAAATATATAAGCGTATATGTATACGTATATATGTATATGTACGTATTTACGAGTATACGTATGTATACAGGGGAGCTATTTATTATTATGTATACATACATACGTGCAAATATGTGAATTTGTATATGTATATGTATATGTATATGTATATGTATATGTATATGTATATGTATATGTAGATATGTATATGTATATGTATATGTATATATGTATATATGTATATGTATATATGCAGGGAGAATGCCTAAGATTAGACTGTATGGGTAGCGGCACAACAAGCCGTTTTTTATTTCCTTTTTGTTTTTATCTTCTTATTGATGCAACATATACATGGGCATTTAATTATATTATGCAAAAAAAGAGAGAAAAAGAAGAAGAAAAAGAAAAAAGCTTAGCAGCTATTGAACGAGCTAGAGCAGCAAGACGAGCACAAAGGAGAGCAGCAAGGCGGGCAGCAAGACAAGCATCAAGAGCAGCAACAGCAGCAGCAGCAGCAGTAGCAGGATTAAAACAGGTAGAGGAGGAAGAAGAAGAAGAGGAAGAAGAAGAGGAGGAGGAAGAGGAGGAGGAGGAACTAGAAGAATATTATGGCGCTTATGCAGACGAAGAGGACGAAGAGCCAGAACGTAAGGATACACTCCTTTTTTGCTGCTGCTGCTTCTGCTGTTGCTGCTGTAACTGTTGCTGTTTATCATCTGACGTTTGCTGCTGCAGCAGCTGCTGCTGCAGTTGCTGCTGCTGCTGTCACGATCTGTGTGTGTGCGTGTGTTGTGCTTCTGCATCACTTGCTGTTTCTCTTCCTGTTTGTGCTGCTGCTATTGCTGCTGTTGCTGCTGCTGCTGCTGCTGCTGCTGCTGCTTCTGCTGTTGCTGTTGCTGCTGCAGCACCAGTATTCCAGTTGCTGCTGGATGGAGACAGTCAGCTACGCCGTCGTCCTATGGGAGACTTAGTAGCAGCAACAACAGGTTTATTTAATTGTATATCTGTCTCCTCTGTTAAAAATAATGATGATAATATAAATATAATAAATAAACAGGAAGAAGAACGAGAAGAAGAAGAAGAAGAAGAGGGAGGTGCAGGAGGAGGAGACGAGGACCAGCAGCACACATTACCCTTGCTGCTGACGTATAAAGATCCGCTGCTGCTGCTGCAGCAAATGCGTTATGAATTAGGTAGACTACTACAGGAGCAGGAGAGCAGCAAGAGGGAAGGCAGGAGGAACAGCAGGGGGAACAGCAGGAGCAGCGGGAGCAGCAGCTTAAGCAGCATGAGCAGCAGCAGCAGCAGCAAGAACAGCAACAAGGATGATGAATATACAGTTGAACAACTAAGGGAGCAACTGTACTATTATGTACTGCAGCAGCAACTCACCTGCTGCTGTGTCTTTGTATCCAACAGCAGCAGCAGCCAATTTGCTTCCTCCTTGTTAATGGTCTCTCCCTTGCTGCAGCAGGCAATATCTATAGTATTAGTAAAAAAAGATGAGGCGGAGGAAGATATTACTAGTACTATTGCAAGCAGCAGCAGTAGCTGGTGCAGCAACGGCTACAGCAGCAGCAGTATCTGGTGCAGCAACGGCTACAGCAGCAGCAGCAGCAGCAGCATGAGGAAGAAGAAACAAAAAGTTATAACAAGACAAGAAGATGTTCTTTCTCTTCCTTATTTGTTGATGACTTTACGATTGATGCATGTGTGGGGTTTTAGGTGTATATACACCCCACCATCTACCTTTCGTGTATTACCTATAGGTAGCGGCATTAGCACCGGCTGTAGCAATCAGCAGCAGCAGCAGCTGCTGCTGTTACAGCCTCTGAGGGACGAAGAGGACGACGAAGACGACGATGATGATTTCTTCCTGCGGCAGCGAGTACTGATAGGGGATGATGATGATGAGGATGAGGAGGAAGAAGAATTTTATAGGCAGCAGCGATTTAGGCGGGAGCACGCGGTGATGCTGCAGGAGCAGGGAATAGATGTGGGGGAGGAAGAAGATTATGAGCAGCAGCGGCAGCGGCGGGAAGTGCAGCAGCTGCAGCAGCTGCAGGAAATGCAACAGCTGCAGCACCTGCAGGAGCTGCAGGATAGGGAGGAAGGCATGCAGGAGGATACGCCGCCGCTGCTGCTGCAGGAGTATTATGAGAGGAAGCAACAGTATCTGCAGGAGCAAGGCAGTCCAGTAGCAGCAGCTGCTGGTGCAGCAGCAGCAGCAGCAGCAGCAGCAGCAAAAGAAGATCTAAGACATTTCTTCGTAGAAGGGGACGCATCTGCTGCTTCTTATTTCTTTGGATTTGCTGCTGTTTCTTCTGCTAAGGTTGCCGTCAACGTTAGCAGGTAATTTGCTGCTGCTGCTGCTGCTATTACTGCTGCTGCTGCTATTACTGCTGCTGGTGCTATTACTGCTGTTGGTGCTATTGCTGTGGCTATTGCTGCTGCTATTGCTGTTGCTGCTGTTATTGCTGCTGCTTCTGTTATTGCTGCTGCTGTCTGCTGCTGGATGTTGCTGCCTAGGCGTCACCTTTTGCTGCTGCTCTCGTATTACTTCGTTGTATATTGTGCTTTTCTTGCTGCCGTTGCTGTTGCTGCTGCTGTTGCTGATGCTGGTTGTTGCTGTTGTTGCTGCAGCAAGTCACCATTGCAAGGAGATCGTTATTTCCCGTTGCTGTTGTCAGCATTAGGATTGGGGTGTACGCACACCTCAAAGAGAGGGAAGGAAGAAGGACTAGTATTTATAGGTAAAAAAGAAATAAAAAAAGATAATAATATAGTAAGAAAGAATGTATTTATTAATATGCAATCAATACCTGATTGTGTACCTACATTAGTTGCTGTTATTGCTGCTATACATACAGTTACACCTTGCTGCAGCAGACCATTTGTTCCTCCTTTTCCTGCTGGTGCTGATACCACCAGCAGCAGCAGCAGCGGCAGCGGCAGGAACTGCAGCAGCTACTATGTGCCACCCTGCAGCGAGGAGGAGAGAAAGAGTCTACAATTCTTACTGGAGACAGAGCTAGCATTAATAAAATGTAATAGGAACATCCGCAGCGCCAGCTGCAGCATATGGGAACTCAGCAGCAACTGCAGCCGCTGCAGCACCAACGTCAACAGACAAACTCGAAAGAAAATGTTTGGGTTAGGACGTCCTCCCTTCCGTTGTCATTTTATGGATACCCCTGAAGCAGCAGCAGCAGCAGAGACAGGAGATGAAGAAGCAGCAGAAACAGCAGAAGCAACAGAATGGAGGTTCATTTGTCTGTATGGTATACAATCCTTACAATATAAGGAGAGCAGCAGAGCAGCAGCAGTAGCAGCAGAGCTGCAGCAAGCAGGATATACAGTATGGGTAGCAAAGGATTATATAGCAGTAGCTATACCTCCGCCTGTTTTATTGGTGCAGCTGCAGCAGCAGATGAGGCAGATGCAACTGCAGCAGCAGCAGGAGAAGGATAAGCAAACTCTCCAGCAGCAGCAGCAGCAGCAGCAGCAAGACACCAGCAGACTTATTGTTCTTAAGTCTCATGGGGATCATAGATTGGCTATGTCTTGGGCAATATTAACAATTAAAAGACCAGATATATACATACTAGATGTTAGCTACTCCTGCTGCACTGCTGCTGCTGCTGCTGCTGCTGCTGCTATTGCTGCTGCTGGTGATGGTCGTCGCGCTGGTGGTGTTGGTGCTCCTTGTGGTAGTCGTACTGTTGGTGCTGCTGTTTTGCCGTGTTGCTGCTTCTTCTGCTGTACCTGCTGCTGCTGGTGCTGCTTCTGCTGCTGTATCCGCTCCTGCTGCTCCTGTATCTGCTGCTGCTGCTGCTGCTGCTGCTGCTGCTTGTGTGTTTGTTTAGTGGCAGTGTGTGGAGAAGACGTTCCCAAACTTTTGGGGCGAAGCAAAAGATTCCCTTCAACTCACATACAGATTCCTCTAGCTGCTGCAGCTGTTGCAGCTGCTGCTAGCTACTGCTGCTGCTGCAACAGGAAGAACAGCAGCACGAGGAGGAGGAGGAGGAGCAGCAGAAGCAGAAGCAGCAACAGCAGTTTTAGCAGCAGTTTTAGCAGGAGGAGGACCAGCAGGAGCAGCAGGTGGTGGCGCTTGTGTAGGAGGACCTCCTGTAGGCAGGAGCACACGCTGCTGCAGAAGAAGCTGCAGAAGCAGCAGCAGCAGCAGCAACAGTGCTTTTAGCTGCAGGAGGAGCAGCAGGAGGAGGAGCAGCAGCAACAGCAAGAGGAGATGGAGCGTGTGTAACAGGACCTGCTGTAGGCAGGAGCACACGCTGCTGCAGCAGAAGCTGCAGAAGCAGCAGCAGCAGCAACGGGAGGAGGAACGGGAGGAGCAGCAGCAGTTTTAGCTGCAGGAGGAGCAGCAGAAGGAGCAGCAGTTTTAGCTGCAGCAGGAGATTGAGCGTGTGTAACAGGGGACCTGCTATAAGCAGGAGCACGAGCTGCTGGAGCAGAAGCTGCACAAGCAGCAGCAGCAGCAGCAACAGGAGGAAGAACAGAGGGAGCAGCAGCAGTTTTAGCTGCAGGAGGAGCAGCAGCAGCAGCTGCAGCAGGAGATGGGGCATGTGTAACAGGGAACCTGCTATAAGCAGGAGCACGAGCTGCTGCAGCAGAAGCTGCACAAGCAGCAGCAGCAGCAGCGGGAGGAGGAACAGAAGGAGCAGCAGCAGGTTTAGCAGCAGGAGGAGTAGCAGCTGCAGCAGCAGCTGCAGCAGGAGATGGAGCGTGTGTAACAGGGAACCTGCTATGAGCAGGCGCACAAGCTGCTGCAGCAGAAGCTGCAGAAGCAGCAGCAGCAGCAGCAGCAAACGGAGGAGTAACAGAGGGAGCAGCAGCAGTTTTAGCAGCAGGAGGAGCAGCAGCTGCTGCTGCAGCAGCAGCTGCAGCAGAAGCTGCGCAAGGAGTAGGAGGAGCAGCAACAGCAGTTTTAGCAGGAGCAGCAGCAGCAGGAGCTGCAGGTGCAGCAGCAGCAGCAGGAGATGGCGCTTGTGTAACAGGACCTCCTGTAAGCAGGAGTACAAGCTGCAGAAGCTGCAGAAGCAGCAGCAGCAGCAGCAGCAGCAGAACCAACTGCAGCAGCAGCAGCAGCAACAGCAAATGCTGGGCTGACTTTTTTGTCTCCAAAAGGAGACATTTTATCTTTAATGTTTTAATGATTAAATAAATAAAAAAAAAAAAAAAAAAAAAAAAAAAA